GTGATTTAGATTTTAAAAAAAACAAAGAATGTTTATGTGCATAGGTGATTAATGAACTTGTTTGTTTGTGATTTAGAAAGAACGAAGGATAGAGTGTATTGATTGTGTGAAAATGGTATATTACTATTACATTCTACTTTCTCAAAGTTATTAGAGAATAAAATTTGTCAATTTTCAATAAACCTGAATTTTATCATTCTTTGTACATTTAAATATATCATGTTCAGTTCTTACTTTCATCTCACTAGTATGATAAAAGAAATTTTAACCAAGCTATTACAGCAGAATGTGACTCTATATTTACCAACCGCTATATGACAATATGAAATGCAAACAACAATAGGTAAATAAAAATGAAGAAAGATTCGTTTTATTAACATTTTTTAGCAACCAACTTTGAAAATAATTTATTCACGGATGGAAAAGATGAATGTAATTTAACATTTAATATTATTAGTTCTCGTTTAAACTTATATGTTAACTTATTTTAAATATATTATTATAATATCGATAGGTAAACCGCGGATTAAAATTGAACCAAACCCGCAATTTATGGTTTGGTTTGGTTTGAAACAATTTCAAACCGCATGAAATGATTTGAGTTGACCCAAATCGAACCGCGTTCACCCCTAACACATTTCATCAGCTTCTATCAAAATTTAATAAAAATCTAATTTTAATTCCCAACAAACAAATTAGGACTAAAAGATAAAATTAATAAAGCTCCCATTTGATAGGATTAAAATTTTAATTATAATTTAAATCAAAGTCCATAATTAATTTTGACACCATACTTACTCGAATTCACGACTTTTAAAAGTACACATCTTATTAACTTCTATTGGGATCTACTAAAATTTGATTTTAATCCCTACAAAACAATATATTCATATATTTAAGTGATTTTAATATCATATAGATCGATCACCTCTAATGAAGATAAATATTTATAATAATCTAGATAATAAAAAAATATTTTTCCAGGAAAACTATACAAAAAGTATTTTATAATTACTGATTTGTTATTCAATAAGTTAATACCTCGACCTAAGAATTCAACATTTTTATCAAAATCAAAATTAATTCAATGTACCAGTATGGTCTCTTTATTCTCAAACTTAAAAAATTCAATCATCAGAAAGATGAACACTCAATCTTAGAATTCAAAAGTCAAAAATTTCGAAAACAGTTATATTATAAAATGCTCAAACATTTTAGAGAATATTACAATTTATCGCCATCCACTATAAACACTAAAAACTATGCAAAAATAAATAAATAAAAATAAAAAATCAGTATAACATTTTTCCCCATTTTTTAATTACTTCAATTTTTGAAAGAAAAAGAAACCAAACCATTTCACACAAAAATTAAAGCTACCTACCGAAAATCGCGAATAGAAATATGTAGAAAATAAGTTGAGGCTCAGATCTGTTTTTATCGGACGAGAGAAAGTCCAATCCGCCATGGCTGCAAATCACCGGTTGCGTGCGATCTGAAATCACATGCCATCCGTGTTGCCTCGCCAAGTTACGGGCCCGATCGTCTCGTTGTCCGACTCATAAGCTCAGAGGAATCAAGAAACATCGTCACAGCCACTTTATTTACTTCAAAACATACCGCTAAATAATAGCATTACTCAAAACTCAAAATCTTTTCCAAACAGGGGAAATACTTGAAGGGTAAATTTCATTCGCGGTCACCAAACTTGGAGAAGCCGAATTTGGAAAAAGTTCTGTAAAAACCCTAAACCATAACCCTACTATAAATAGTAAGTTAAACAATGGTTGAATCTCTGTCTCTTTCTCTCTATATTCACATAGATCTCCGTATCTATGTATGTTAAAGGGATGTTAGTGATTTGTTGCTATAGGAATCATTGGCGGAGAGGAAGGGGTAACAACCCTTAAGAAATCCACATTCTTCCTCTCCCCTCATTCTACCCTCTGAGCTTAATCCGTTTTCTAATTGCTGAAGAGCTTGTTATTTATTGAGAACTGGATTACCTTTTTACCCTCGTCTGGTAACATGTTTACCGCCAGCTGTCCAGCAGTTAGGGGATCTTCTATCGTGAATTAAAAAAAAAAAAAAAACGAAATGCACGAAAATATAAAAAATGTTAATTATTTTTGTTAATATTATTAGTTAAAAAAAAAAAAAAAGAATTGAGGCTCAGATCTGTTTTTGAGTCAGGCAAGAGGGCGACCGCCGCATATGAGAATGAAGAATGATCCCAATGCTCAGATGCCTCATCCAAGCAAACCACTTGAGATAGCTAATCGCCCGAAAGAAGTGACGAGAAAGCGAAGCTGCCTACGAAGCAAAGCTTCTTTGTGTATCTATCATTTCTTGCATTCAATATTTTTGTTGATACATTTTTATATATCATTGGGTCCAATATTTTTGTTTGGACTTTAGATGGAGCATTAATAAACAAAAAATGCATTTGAGACTTGTCTTTTTTTGAAAGTTAGCATCTTTGGAAGCGCAAATATATTCATTTCAATCAAAATGCTGGGAGTAATGAAGGTGAAATTGGAATTTCTAAATTTCTCTTTTGACCGAAAGAACTTCCTTGAAAGTAGAATGATGATAGTGTTTTGAATTCGAAAACATTGCACTTTTATATCCACATATTTCCTTTTCAACGGTGCTACACGTACAGATGGAAAGACCAACATAAATGGGCCAGCATACTCACACCATGTGGGGCCCACATATTCTTTATTTATTTTTATTACACAATGGGGCCCACCCAATGTGAGTTTTCTGGTGCATTTTTGCGGAGTGGTTTATGTACAAATGGAAAAACACCTTCTTTTTTTTTTTTAATTTAAAAAAAAAAAATATGTATTATTGTACTCGAGTATATCAGTGTATAAAAAGAAGATTTTTTGCTTTGAAAAAAAAATAAAAAGTCAGGCCTTGGACACCTCACGTGCGTGCACGGTATATGAAAATTCTTATTGGTCCTCAAATTTTGATTTAACATCCTACCATAATAATAAAATTCCAAACCCTGTGTTATTAACATTAAATAGTTGAATTGGTCCTCGAATTTTGATTTATCAAGTAAAACTTAAATGAGTTATGTCATTTGGTCAAAAAGTGGTTTACATATCAAAGACATAATGTCAGTTGACAATAATAAAGTTCTATGTAACATATGTCGATAATTATGTTTAGGATAATGTTAGAAGTATATCACCGTATACATAATGGTGTACATAATGTTAATGTGGTAATCATTCGACCTTTAATTCAAATTTGACACCGACACATCAATGACTGGATGATTGACACATTAGCATTATGTACACCATTATGTAGATGGTGATGTACTTCTAGCATTATCCATATTGAAATTGGGCTACTTGAAATGCTAGAAGTACATCATCATCTACATAATGGTGTACATAATGTTAATGTGTCAATCATCCAGTCATTGATGTGTCAGTGTCAAATTTGAATTAAAGGTCGGATGATTGCTACATTAGCATTATGTACACCATTATGTAGATGGTGATGTACTTCTAACATTATTCTTATGTTTAACATGATTTGATTTAACCCCTTCAATAAGGGATGCATATCCTCTCTATATTATTATATTTTATTTTCACATAAATTTAATTAAAAATATAAATTAATTCGTTATAACAAAATACATATCTAATAAGAAAAAACTAAAAAATATTTATACTCTCAATAAAGTAACCTATAATCTGAGATAGATGGATAAAAAAAAACCAAAGCCAGAAAAGAAAAATGGGGAAATTATTCTCCTAAAAAGATATTAGTTGAATTCTTAATTAACATAGGTATTAAAATAAATAAAAAGTACGCAGGGAGGGAAAGAAATTGAGGCTCAGATCTATTGTTTTGATCGATCAGGCAAGGAGAATATAACCGCGCCATGGCTGCATAATCACCGGTTGCATAAAATCACATGCCATCCGGGTTGCCCCGCCAAGATACGGGTCAGTTCATCTCAAAGCCCGACTCATCAGCTCAGAAGGATCAAAATCATCGTCACAGCCTCTTCGCGTAATCGTATCGATACAATTACCAAACTCGCTACATAGATATCTCTCTCTCTGTCTCTCTCTAGTATGAATTATGTTGGAATCGAATCCAAGAATAACAGGGTAATTATATTTCCATTTTCCATAGATAACATTGGCTGTTTCTAATTTCTCAAGGGCTGTTGTCAATTTTTGGTGGAAATCATCGGTTTCACAGAGAGGGGCAACCACCCTTAAAGAATTCCCAATCTCTCCGCAAACCTCATTCTTCACTCCCAAGCAGCTAACCCTAGAATCTGGTTTAGCTTTTAATTTATAGAACCCCACTCTTCCTAATTTACCCCTTCTTTGTTCCTCATTTTTGCAGCAGACAAAAGGAAATAGTGGTAATTTCGCATTTTTGTTAGTTCGATATTTTTAAAAATTTAATTTTAATCGCATATTTCATAAAATTCAAAATTTTTATCAACCATTCAATCATATATTTTACGATACATCGCATTCACAATTGGTGCTAATCTTTACTCTGGAGCATTTTAAATAAGAGGTAAATTTTGCGATTCTATAAGCAATGGTTTCATACAGGATACTCGATTACTCGATGGTGTTTTTTTTCCGTTTCTAAAATTCTTGTTAAGCTCAAAAATCACGAGTCGTGTAATTTGGACAATCAAAGAATTACGAAGAGAAAAGACACTACATAAACACAGTAAATCATGTCAAAATTTCACATTTGAGGAAAATCCACTGGGTTTTGGAGTTCAAATAATAGTAACAAATCATACCCAACATTTCTTAATTATCAAGAACCTTAGCTAATGTCTGCACGATTGCGATTTAAAGATTGAACAAAGAGATTGTCAAGGAAAATGGGGTGGCAACTTGCATACCAAGTTAAAACTCGTCACAATTTCCTTGAAACGTAAAGAAGTGAAAATCAAATACAAACAGACGAGACCAAGAATTTCATAGAGCTTATACAGACATGGACATAATCTGACGAGCAATTCCAGGATCTTGTTGTAAAAGCTCCCTCAGGTTGGTCTCCACCTCGGCCATCTGCTTCTCTAAGTACTCCTTTGACGTCTGTCCAATGGTAACAAAATATTTCAGTTCCCAGACATGAAGAAAGCCCCTTACAGATCGTTCATACTATCACATATTTAAATTTGCTAGTTCAAGTAAAACCGAAGCACCCCAAAGGGGAAGAGCAAACAGAATAAAATACTGACTAAATAAGCATAAAAGGACACATCTTCCCGTTGCACATCTTTTCATCTAACAATAGAATGGTATTCTAATCTTCAGTTCTACCAGCCTGTAGGTTCCAAATTTTAATCATCCGCAAACTCAATGAAGTTGTTACTCGCATGGTGTAAAGATAATGCAAAAGTAAGTCCATCTTTGGCAAATTTAAGTTTCACTTAAACATGCAAAGTAATAAGCAGCAGCATAATGAGTGACTAAAAAAAATAGAGAGGAAGTGAAATGGAAGAAGTCCAATTCAAGTTATATGATATGTATGATAAATACATAGGGAAACAGTTCATTGAGATTATAATAGTCAACAATAACAAATTTTTTTATTATATGAGAGGGGCAGAAACTTGACGCACATACAAAAAGACGTAATCATTTGAAGTTTTCCCCTGTAATAAAGAGTTTCATGATGGAGACGAATGATCAGTCCAAGAATTTCCAAAGATCCATATCTGCTTAGCCACTATTAGACAATTATCATACATACAGAATAACATCACAATTCCCTCATTACTTTCACCAACTCTCAGGAAAAATAACTAATTATTGAAACATTTTTCATTTTTGTGAACAGTCAAAACTAATCTAAGAAAAATATGTATAATTGCATGTCAAATTTGTTTTACATCTACCATATGCACTTTTTGATATGCGAACATTTTTTGAGAATAGATTCTGTAAAATGTGATCTTTTCAGAGAATGTGTGGTTAAAATATAGGGAAAAAGTTTTGAATGTATAGCAAAATTATTTTATTGGGGGAATGTGTAGTTAAAATGAGTTTGGGGAAAAATTGAATCTTAAAAATGGGGCTTAAACAAGGTTTTGTATATTGTTGACAACAGCAATAAAATGTACAATCCAAAGTTCTCATCCTCTTCGTCATAAATGATCCGCTTGTCATCTAAGAGGGTGTTTGGTGGGGATTAAATTAGATTTTTAGTAGATTGTGATAGAAGTTTTTGAAATATGTGGTTGAAAAGCTGTGGGACCCATGAAAGATTGAGTTAATATTGATTGTTTGACTTTGACTTAAATTAAAATCCGATTTTAATCAGAAACAAACAGGGCGCCTAAATAAAAGTCCAGTCACCACATATTCAAAGGATTTCACTTGCAAAATTTAAAATCAAACTAAAAAGGAGTGTTAATTCATTAAAAAATAACAAAGTGAAATTAAACAGTATAAAAATAGAGAAATAATTTATAAATGCATAATTTTAAACTATTCTAAGCAACAGGTCCCCAACATCTGGGTGTCCTACTTCTCTATTGGATTTCCACATCCATTTCTTTTTGTGTTAATTCTCTAGTGCTTCTAGATGTCATAAACAACTATTACAAAGAAAGATACTGGTGTATGACCCATAAATCTGTCAATAATTAAAGATACTCTTGATAATTACATTTATCGACAGATAAAGCAAGTGTTTGTAAATATATTTATAGACGAATAGCTGAAGCCAACAAATAAATCACCAACACTATATCCATCGATAAATGTACCTTTGTATCGAATAGTTATCACCATGACCATAAAAATATGGAGAAATATTAAAATCAGTCATAGATAAAAATCACGAAAATGATCTATAAACTATATTTTCAATTAATTACATATCTGAATATTGAAAAAATGAACTGAACTAACATATTGATCAAGCCCTTTATATTGTCGTGTGCAATATATAGTTGAATTATGAGTGTGTTTGGTAGGAATTTTTGGAGGAAGAATTGATTTTTAAATAGTGATATGATGAGAAATATGTGATTGAAAAAGAACAAAAAATTATTGATGTGATGGAAAATATTATTTTATTTAGAATCAATCACTACCAAACACCCCCTAAATATAAAAGAGTCAATTGTGGGTACTGTTCACAAGCCGTGAGCCGAGCCAAATGGCTTTACGGCTCGGTTCGGCCTTGCTCGGTTTTTTTTTTTTATTATTATTATTAAGTATTTTAAGTTACAGATATTCGTTTTAAACGATTTAAAATTTGTTGAAAACGTAAAGTGCGCCATGAAATATATAAGATAGATAATGTTAAAAAATCAAAATAATTTTACATTAATAGTGAAACGTAAAGTCGTGATTGTTTATGTTTATTTTAGGGAAGAATTGATTTTTGAATAGTGATATGATGGGAAATGTGTGGTTGAAAAAGAAGAAAAAAGTATTGATGTGATGAAAAATATTATTTTATTGAAAAATATATGGTTGAAAATGAGAATTGATTTACTGTAGAAAATGAGAATCTGTACCAAACATGCTCTATGTATAGCCAACCTAATCCAAATTTAAAAGTGTAAGACAAAAATTTTGCAAAACCTTCCCTATAAATGAATTCAGAACTCAAATTTGTACTTCTCCATAATATTTATCTAAAGAACATGTATCATAAATAAGTTTTTGTGATAATATATCTAAGAATCTCAGCTACAATTTTCTGAATGAGAACATTAAGGGTGTTGTTTCAATCATTGTTGTCGTCGTCGTCATTCGTCGTATTGTACACTATTTTTCTTGTCGCTAACACATCAATTTTTTGAAACGTGGTGTTTCAAAATAATTGTAAAAAATGATAATATCAGCATTGAAAAGCATTTTGCACCCCAAAGATGAAAATCTTGGGAATTCATTTTCACATAAAAAAATTCTACCTTCACGTTTGCATTACTAGTTGGTACCTAATTACATATCACATTATCATTAAAAGTAATAGTAGTAGCCTACACTTGCAATTTGATAAGTAGATGTTGATTAAATAATATTGGACGTGTTAGTATAAATTAGACAAGTGAATTTACAAGCCAATCCCAGTTTGTTTTAGATTATTTAACATAATTATGATTATTAAGTTAAAGAAAAAAAACTAATTTTTTGCATAATCAAAACAAGAAATCTAAACAGACCTGCAAAGAAGCAAGAGCAGCTTCACTATCCTTGAGCTTTTGTTCTTGTTCTTCCATTAAAACTGACTTGGGCTCCAAAACAAATCTGCCCCACATAAATTTTACATCAAATTACACAATTTGATCCCACATGTCAATAAATTGAAATCAAAATACAAATAGATTATCGAAAAACTCACGTTCGCCCGATGGATTTATACGTATTTGTATCATCAGATAATGGTTTAAGCTCCTCCAAGGTTAAGTAGGCCCTTTTCTTTTCTCCTTCTTTATTTCGCATCTGATTCTGAACCTACACAAATATGCCCAAATAATTAGACAAATTTTCAATTCTCAGTACTAAAAAGAAATTATCAGTATACAATACAATCATCGTGAGTTTATATACTAACCTGCTTCAGTTTTCCGGTTGTCTCGATCATGCGACCTTGGATTTCAATAAATGCCTACAAAATCAAAAAATAAATTGAATTAAATTTCGAGAAATAGAAATAAAAATTGAAAATTGGGAGTTGATTAAACGGGAATTTTGTATACTCACGCTTCTGTTCGCTTCATCTGCCATTTTCTTAGCTACTTAATTTCACCTTTCTCACTGTCAGGAAGAAAGTATTGTACCCTAATTTTTCTGCGTTTTTCATTTGAGGGCTTGTGCCTGGGCCTAGGGTCCATTAAGCTAAGAGACCGTGCGGTTAAAATGCTAGAAAAATTTTAGATTTACGAATAAATTTAGGGAAGAGTTCAAAAGTCAGATATTGACTACACACAATTCAAAAATCAAATTTTAAGTTTGACTAATGCAAAAATCAGATTTTAGTTAATTAATTAAATATATTTATTAATTAAATCTCTACAATATTAAATATCGGTTAAGGTCTTAATCTTTATTTCATATACTTATGATTAATCAATTTTAATTAGTTTATGATTTTGGTTTAAATTGGTTAACATCGTGCTTTTCGATCTTCTCTCTTGATTTCCTGATGTAATTTAAACGTGACCGCTGACGATTATTCCTTGATATCGACAGCGGTTTTGAAATTCAAGCTAACCCACTTTTTCCGATCTGTATGTTTATCAGAGGACTTACTGTTAAGTTCCTTTCTAGGGAGGTTTTGCTATTTCACTAATACTCCGAAATATAAGAAAAAGGGGTTTTGAACAGTGAAAAATCTCATCCAGGAATAAACTTGTCAAGGAGTTTGAATTGTGATAAACTATGACCCAAAAAAAAAAGAAAAAAGTATCCTCTTTAGTTTCTAATTCAAATCGAAATTTTGCTCCTTAGTACTTGTGAAGTAATGCGGTCTGCAATGAAGCATCATTTTAAGCTTTAGAAAGACTTGACGAAGGTCTATTGATTTTTTTCCTTGGAAGTGTGTTTGTTTTTATTTCAGTCCTTTTTTTTCTTTTTGTAAAGGAAGAGAACTATACAAATATACATACAAAAAGGTATGGTAAATCACACATTTATCCCAGTAAAGTCATTGGCTAATTGGAGTTTAGGAAGTACATGTTTACTGAGAAATATTTTCTTTTTTAGTAGGATTGCATAATCCGTGAAGTGAAATTTTGCACAAACTTGTAATTTTCAATGACAGCTTTGAATAGCTTTAGATCCTTGATCGATGGAGTATATCAATGTCCATGTTTCCAGGGGACTTTGGGAGCAATGCTAAATTGAAGCTGAAAATATGAGCTATCACAAAGCTTTTCTCTATATAGGATAAATGTGCATGAAGAATGTGGCGAGATTCCTCATTGGAATTTTACGTTCCCACCCATTTTTTGGTAGAATCGATTAAAGGTATTTCAATTTTTATTTGTGATTCGAAGTTTTCATAATAATGTTTACAATAGATCCAAAAAAGTAAGCAACCTCTTCAACCATAGCCTGAAGATTATTAGTTTCTGTTATTGATATTTTCTTAACCTTGCAGAAAGAGGTTTGAGGTCAGGTAATGATAATTGTGGCATATGACTTAATAGATTTTTTACCTTTCAGCTTATGATGCTTGTAGATTATGCTGACTCTATTTTCCCAATCATTGCTCATGTCCTGTGAAATGGCGTACATTTGGCAGATTTTGTGATGCCTTTCTTCCTTTTTGTTGCTGGAGTTTCTGTGTCGATAGTTTACAAGGTAACTGTATTTCAACAGTTTACTAAGAAACATAACGTGTCATGTAAAGCAGAGGTTATGCATACATTTCTAGCTATAATTTGTGGCTACTAATGGCTATTTCCATTGCAATCAAAATGAGGTCAACATTAGTATCTATTACTGATTAGGTTGGTAGATTGTTTTACCTCAGAGTTGACGCTACGTGGAAGGCAGTGCTTAGAGCATTGGGAGTTTCCTCCTTGGTGTTTTTTTAAAGGGTAATACCACCTATAATATTATCAATTTAAAGAGAAATGTGATGCAGGAATTTGGGACATCTGAGTCTTAATAATGGAAATTTGATTGTGAACAGCTTGGTCGTTACTTTTGTTGTTTACTTTCATCCATTTGGGCTTATGTATCAAATTTAATCATTTCTCATAATGAATGATGAATGTTTGAATTTTCTGGAAATGGATCAACCTATTAGTTCCAAATTGAGCAAAAATTAGTTTATAATAAGTTCAATCCTCCTCCTCCTCCTCCTCCTCATCCTCCACTCTCTCTTTGTGTTATGTATCGAGGCTTCGTCCTTCTCTTGAATATGGAAAAAACACATGCTATATTTCTCCTTCTAATGGCATATTATATTTGCACCTTTGTTTCAACAGTATAATGGATATAAGCATCTTAGTCTGCAGGATAATTTTATTCACGCTCTATTTTCTGGATATGTCTGTTTATAGATCAAATATGTAATTTGAATGTTTACTTTGAATCTTGAAATATTCTTCTCGATTGTCCAAAATGTTGGCTTTTTCTAATTTCATGAAATGTGACTTTTGAATACTATATTGTTGTTTCACTTTGTTTGCTAAGTTGTTATGTTATTGCATTGTCTATTGAAGGATGCCTTGGAGCTTGATCAATTATTCGGAAGGCGTGGTACTACTTGGACACAATACTGGCTGTCAGGTAATTAATTTATTCTTTGAGCTTAGATCCTGAGTTCTGATGCAATTCTGCTGATCTATAAAAATTCAGATGGCACATGACATTCACAGCAGAACATGAAAAAGTCAATCATGTGCAGTGATAAAACAGTTTTCAAGCTTCAATGTACAAATGCAATTCTCTCAATGAAGTGCTTTTTTTGCTAACACATAGTTGGTCTGAGGTAGTTTTTGCTTTTCTACAAAATGTAAGTCCAGCCAAACAGGATGTCATTTAGAACGTAATATTGAATAATACATAGCCACATCATTTCCCTCTAAAGATGTGAGATATATGTGGAAGCAGGGAAAATATATGTTGAAATGTATTTTTATGAAATTTGTTTTAGTGTTGATTCTACCCCAAAGTGAAGTTTGTACCAGCTTATTACACTTCTGCACCAGACATTATAACAATCACATAATGGGCATGTTTGGAAAGAACCAAGTGGGGCATAATGGTCCATCCAAACTGACATGAAAGGATGATAAATAAAAGGAGTTAATAACACTTATTCAAATCAATGACATAGTTTTCCACACATCACACGATGTCATCCAGGAATGGACAACTAGAATGATTCTGCTTGGAAATATATGGTGCTTCTGCAAAGATGGGATTAAAAGAACTTGCTGTTAAAAAATAATCAATGGAACCTAGCTCAAGCTTGGAGAAAGCTGTTTGAAGCTAGCAATTTTTGATTTTAAAGTATGTTACTAGATTTACTATTTGATCAATTTAAAGTGAGACCTTTAGCTATTTTTAAATATAATTGATTCTTTGTATATGATTTCTTTTGGTAATAACGCTCAAAACTAACAATGTCGGTCTTGAACTCAATGTTTCAAAACTAGAGACTCTTGAGCCTCAATATCCAGCTCGGTCTAGCAGGAACTTTAAAAGTCTGCATAAATAGCTCAGCTCTGATTGTGCGCTCCCCTACTGTAACCCTGGATTACTATACAAGGCTTGTGATGATATTTCATCTGCAGTCCTTGGGCATGCATATCATGTTTATTTTATTTCGATTTCATCATTGATTGCCATTCACTATGGTCTTGAATATGATATTCATGAGATTTTTTGTTATTTTTTCCCTTCTTTCACAAGATCGAACCAAAAATACCTAAGGTATGTTCTTTTGATGATACGCTTTATTTTCATTTTTTTGTTCGATCTTTGTAGATGCCAAGTTCAAGATACGTAAAGTTATGTTTAGGGGGTGGTTAGGGTTTAGGGTGTTATGTATATGTTTTTCGATTTTTTCATCCGTGCTGTTGAATATGAAATTTGTTGTTGAATCTACGATTTCTGTTTAAATTTTTTCAATCTTTT